ATTCCATCAATACTTGATGTATTCTGCAGCACAAATTATAGGGATAAAGGTTTTTTAACAGGTTTTTTTCTCAGCATTTAGTGATCTTCCAGCTTACCAGGAAGTCCTGTGTGCACATCTCTCTGACCCCTTGTTCAGGTCTCTCAAAACTCAGCTGTGATGTCAGTGAGTAATTCTGTCAGCATCTCTGTCCTCTTCACCCAACCTTCTCTCCTACAATCTCTTGAGATGGCAGAATCCTGAATTCATGAAATACAAATCAAGTACAATTTTCAGACCGAGGAGAAGCTATCCCAAAGTCATAAGTCCCCTGATACTATGGCTTGTATCACTGCTGCTCTTCCAATCATATGGCCAACTCTGTTAGCCAGAACAAATACAAGAATATGCAGGCTGTCCATTCAAGCCATTTGTCACAGTGTTTAAGACACATAGAACAGTTGTCACTGTTTGCTGGTAGCTGCTGCAAGTGGTACTGAGAAAAATGAAGGGATTACAGAGGAGGAATTATAGGAGATTATTAAACTTTTTCCTGTCCAGTTTTCTGTGGTTTCTGATGAGCATAACACACTGGCTACCCAGGACTCTGAGCTATGAATTCAGGTGAAGGTGGAAGTGAACAAATACATGGATTATCATGGAAAGCACCACAAAACCATCACTCAAAACTGATGCAGACACATGATTTCTAAAGAGTTAAGCTGTTGTTCCCTCTCTTAGACAAATGGAAAGGATGTAACATTTCATGGTGACATGGCTGTAGGAACTGACTGTTGTCAGCTAGCGCATTTTGCAAGAATTAGCACTTAGTATTGACAAAATTACATGTCCCTTAAAATTGGATTAATCAAAGTGCATGAACTAGCAAGTCCTAAAAAAGCAAAACTAAAATACAAACCCTCTTAGCACTTGTCCCACTTTTCCTAGAACAGAATATTCCATTTCATACTGAGGTACAATTATTCTTTGTCGATGAGTTATAATTGATGAATATTTCAGAAAAAAAAAGAAATATCAGAGCTTCTGTAAAAAGAAAAAGGCTTTTTCTTTGGGAATAGATAGTGCCAAAATAATGTCATTTTATGTATGTAGGCTACATTTTGCTTAAATAAGCTGGTCACAGGCTATCTTTTCTCTCCTTCCACAATTTATACATCTAACGAGCAAAGATGTACCTTCAATCAGACCTTTATTTGCTTTGAAGACAAACATAAAGGTAATTGAAAAAGAAAATAAAAATTGTGATCAATACTACAACAAGCAAAGGGAAATACAGGTTCAGAATTTCATTAGGAAGAAGTTAAGCAGAAATCAGTTTTACTTGTATATTACAAAAGCATTAATTACAGTTTCTTGGATACCAATAATATAACAGTTTGTAAACAAAAATCCAATTTAAAAAAACCAACACCAGTAGGTTGGCAACTGAAGAGTGAAGAATCATTGTGCAATTTATAGGCATACCCTTTCTCTTAGGACAAGTCCAGTCAATTAATGAACAAGATGTTACTGATTCTGTATATATGAATATTATTCTTTTATTGTTTTTTAAGACTTTTTCACACTGGCAATGTCTAGAGAATTCTCCCCTGCGATTAGAATTATACTTGCTGTTACTTCCTGTCTACTCTTGGTATAATATTTCATGGAAGATTCCATCTAGTTCCAACCCCCCTGCCATGGAAAGAGACATCTTCCAGTAGACCAGGTTGCTCAGAGCTTCATCCAACCTGGCCTTGAACAGTTCAAGTGATGGTTAATTCCTTAATGTGGTGTAGTTAGGTTTATTTCATTGTATGTTTGTATAGAGCATCATGACAAACATCCTGGGTTTTTATAGGTCAAGATATTTGTCCATTGGCTGATGATTTCTCTGGTCCTTTATCATCATATCTTATCTTTTATCTGGGCTCTCCTTCCTAGAGAGCCACTGGCATCAAAGGGTGGGTCAGATGTGTTGCTTTGGCAGTAGTCTCCTGTTTGTGGCCGTTTTCTTTTCCAAGGACTTTGTGGTTTCTCCTCATCTTTTGATGGCCTATCATGTGGTAAAAGAAAAGCTATGGAAAAGCTCTTCAAAGGTAAGTTGGCAGCCAGGAGTGAGTCTGCCACTGCTGGAACAATTCATCCAGATCTTTGTTCAGATACCCATTAATTGCTCCAGTGGTTGCAGCCTGCTGCCAGCTTCATCCTTCCCAAGAGGTCCTCAGGCACTGGGGCACAGACAGGATGTCTGCATGTGTCTGTGTCTCTTTGTTGCAGTTGATTTTTGGGTGTGTAGTAGACCCAGACACTTTCCCAGAAAGAGACTCAGCTCTGTGTGGGGATGTGCAGTTGCTGCCATAGTAGGCATGGGCAAGATCCAGAGAAGGAATCACAGCATGTGCTTTACAAAAAGGTCAAACTCCCAGCAGGAAATGCAGGGCACTCCTGGTGCAGGGTTTCATTTTTACTTTCACTAAAACAGAAAACATGCCAGAATAATGAAGAGATTATAGAGAAAGGGAAAATAAATCATCATTAATTAAGCACTCAGAAGATAGAATAAGACAATTCATTAGTCACACACCTCACTCTCTGTTGTACTGAAAAACTTGTTTTCCTTATTATATTTCCATAATGTCTAGAATCCTAGAATCATAGAATGGCCTGGGTTGGAAGGCACTTTAAAGTCCAACTAGTTCCAACCCTCCTGCCATAGGAAGAGAGGTCCTCCATTAGACCAGGTTGCTCAAAGCTGCATCCTACCTGGCCTTGAGTGCTTCAAATGATGGCTAATTCCTTAATATAGTGTAGTTGGGTTTTTTCTTTGTATGTTTAGATAATTGCTTCTAGCATCAGCTGGTAGAAGCTAAATAGGAATTTAGCACAGACCTTTCAATTCAGCATATTGTGTATGGTGGATGGGAGGAGCAAAATAAATCATATGAAAAGTTACACAAGCCAACTTTAATGGATGGTCACTGTTGCTGTGCTTATAAGTCACAGTGTGGGCATGTAAGCATTTCAACCAGTGCATAACCTTTATTTAAAATAGTTGATATCATTTTGAATAGAAGAGAATAGAATGGAGTATTTCGGTTGAAAGGGACCTACAACAGCAGTGACCAGTTCATGACTGACCTAATGATAAAGCATGTTCTTAAAGGCATTGTTTAAATGCCCATTCAAGTGCCACTGACAGGCTTGGGATACACCACCCACCTCTCCAGGAAGCCAGCTCCAGTGTTTGACCACCCTCTTGGTACAGATCTCCTCTGGTTGGGAACTTTACTGGCATATCATCAAAAGTAAAAATCTTGAAAAGTTCTGCATATCCCAGGAGAACCTTACCATTGAATCAGCAGGGGCAGCCTGGTATTTTTGATGCTGTAACAGTATCCATGCAGACCAGTCTCTGAGGTGGTAGAGAGCCCTGCTCATAAGAACATAATCACACAAATTCCACCCACAGAATTTTTCTAAAGCGTTTTAGTGTTGAGCTGTTGTCATTAAGATTTGGGAGTCATGATACTGACATTTATGCCTGTTTGTGCTGGAGAGCTGTTAAATGCAGGGGCATAAAGTCCAGTGAAACATCACATGAAGTAATGGTTTATCTGTGTCACTACTTTTTTTAAGTAGAGCACAAGAGTACATAAAAAACCTTTAGGTTATTCTCTGTCATCCAGAAAAAGTTATATAAAAATAGGAATGCTCATATTCATTGTTGTTCTGCTACTTTACAATATCAAGATATTTTATACTGCTGTTCATAGTTGATCATTATATTAGCCACTCTATGAGCAAAGAATTGTGCAGGCCCTTTATGTTATTTACATAATGTAGTGAGTATGAATAAGCACTATTTTCCATAAGGATAAAGAAGGGTGAAATAGCAGAAAAGTACTAAACCAAGGTAAATGAGCATTTTTAAGTGATTTTAGACAGAATATCATAGTACAATGATTTTCTTAAAAAAACCAAACATAAGAAAAAGCTTCCAATTACTTAAATTTATTAGTTTTTATAAGGCAATGAGTAACCTATTCACTACTGTCTCATTCATCAAGTGAGTTCTTCAGGAAAAGGCATCCTGTCAGGTGCTGCAGACAAAGCTCTGAGCAGCATCAGTACTGTTAATGCCTCAGATAATGACTGCATGGATTGCAAAATGATACATTATTATCTAGCAGGCATTGATCATAATTATATCGCTGATAAAGGAAAAGCATATCAAATGTCATATTTTAAGTATTTCCTTTAATTAGAATAAAAATGCCACGGAAATAATTTCAGTGGTAGCTGTGTTATTCTTCTGAATGCAGAATGTAAAATTTTTGCATATACTCAGGATGAAAGGAGTTATCACTCTAAACCATTCACTTATTGATTTTCATTTAATACTCATGGTATATCAGACATTATAGATCGTTCACCATTTTGCTTTATGACAGAGCAGAACTCTGATAACTATGCTGTGTCTAAAATGTAGTTCCCTCATTTACCTGCCTGCTTGGACTGAACTGCAGAATCTTAATTTGCTGTCATGGTTTCCATGATCCTTTGCTCATGTCACAATTGTTGTTACAATGAGCATATTGCATGTACAGCATAGCCTTCATCTTCTTAAGGCAAAGCACAGACCCTTTCATCCTTGCAAAATGAATACTTAAACTAGGATTTTAATATTTGTGCTTGCTTTTGGGTTTATTAGCTCTAACTGTGAAAGCTAAATCAATTATTTTGTATGCTCCATCTGACTAACTCTTGAAAAAATAGACTGGAGTTTTCAATATGTCTGTTCTGGCTTTAAGCTATTTTAAAATAGCTCTATTGAAGAAATGGACTCTGCCAATTGAATAAGTGACTTTCTTATTATTACAAGCTTCGGGTTTGCATAAGGACCAGAAGTGTAAAGCAAAATTAGGGAAGATGTTTGTCACTGATAAGGTCCTATGGTGGTAATATAATTCTTCTGCTGTACCTGCCTCACTTGGATTTGGGTATTTTCGTTTCTGCAGACCCCAGAGGAAGGAGCCTCTACAACCATCTATGCAGCAGTATCACCCGAGATGGAAGGAGCTGGTGGCTGCTACCTCTACAACGAGGAAAGGACAAAATCAGCTGACGTGGCATACGATGAGGAGCTGCAGAGAAGGCTCTGGACAGAAAGCTGCAAGATGGTTGGGATTTCTGATGAAGCCAGCAGGCTTCCTTAGAAGAAGCCACTTTCAGCTGGGTAAATGAAATGCATTGAAAAGCATCTTAGGTGAATTCTTGCAGCATCAGTCATCATCCTGGAAATCACTGTTCAGTCCCAAAGGCAAACGTGAACAGCTCTGTTCTTCACTTGAATCCCTAATCTGATAGGGTGTGGGGGGAATATTCCCACAGAAAGGTGTAGTGGTTGGTTTTAAATCTAACCATCAGTTTTGTAAATCATTCTGTTTCAGTCCGTGATTAAAATACAATCTTTAAACATGTGCAGAGATGAGTTTTCATTGTTTTGTTCGACAAAATAATGCTTGAGCATGCTGTGCTGGGAGGTTTTTGAACTTAAACCACCTTTGTACATATAAGTTACTCTTTTAAATCAGTTTTTAAAGTTGCAGCTTCATTTCCTTAAGCTTTATTAATTTTTAAGACACTTTCACCAGCTTGTTCTAATGCAGAAATTTGGCATTCATGATCATGATATTGTTTCTGCCTTTTTCTGCCTTAAAGTCAGTTTTATATGTCAGCTTTTATCCAAAGGTATTAACTGAAGGTCAGAACAATGACAAAAAGTAAATAAATAAGGTCTTCTTCAAACAGGATACTGAATTAACTTGTTTCCAGTTTAAGTTCATCTTTCCTACAAAGGTAAGGAAGGGACCAAACATCATAATGGCAACACTGGCTTTGGCAGAGGATGCAGCCAGCCTATTGTCTTGTCAGTGGGCTAAGATTTACTTGTCCCCATTTCTCCTGAACCCCTCTAATGCTGCATCTGCAGTTTCATTCATTTTCTTTGACAAGGAGAGTGACTCATGTACTGTTGCATGAAGAATCACCTCCTTTTGTTGGTTTTGATCCTAGTTCATATTAGTTTCAGAACTAGAGTTCATGGTTTGGAAGAGACAGTAATTCATGCCATCCCACTTTTTCCTGTCTCTGGAGATGTACAATGCATCCTCCCTAAACTGTGTCTTTGCCATTTTTAAGAATAGTCCCTGCCTACTCATCCAGCTTTCATAGGAGCAAGAGTTTCCCTTTAGTTGTGTATGTCTTTCCTGAAATTTCCTAGCAGCTGCTTTATTTTAAATTTTATTTGACTGTTTCTGAGTGTGGAGCTGATATATTTTATGAAGCTAGTTTTAGCAAACACTTGGGTTTCCCCCCTCAGTGGGATAGCAGTTGGTTCAGATGCTATCAATTCTGAACACACTTCAGTTGTGTACAGTTCAGGGAACTCCACCTATGTCTACCAAAGAGAATCATTAAGAATGATCACATTTATGGAGCAAAAAACTAAACAGACATTGGGCAGTACAAAGATAGCTTGAATTTATACAAGCTCAAATAACTAGAAGAAAAAAAACTAGACTGAAGATAGAAATATTTTAATGGGAATTGTTTGGTAAACCATGAGAATAATTTGCAGAGAAACTTCCCTGGACAGTTTCAGTCAAGATTTTAAGTCTTACAAAAACATCTGGAAGTGTCTGGGCAGACCTGACAGCAGCCTTAGGGTACTTATAGGGGCATACAGGAAAGATGGGGAGGATAGGCTTGGTCAGTGTAGAGATAGAATGAGGGGTAACAGTTCTAAACTGAAAGAGAGAATATTTAGGTTGGACATTAGGAAGAAATACTTTACTGACAGGGTGCTGAAGCACTGAAACAGGTTGCCCACACTAACTGTGGATGTCCCATCCATGGAAGTTTTCAAGATCAGGTTGGATGAGGCTTTGTCTAGAGAAAGATGGTCCTGCCCATGGCAGGGGAGTTGGAAACAGATGATCTTTAAGGTCCATTCTGATCCAAACCATTCTGTGACTCTTTGATGTCTTCTCAGTGAGTCTTTCCAAGCATGGGATCTTTGTCTAGGGAGCTTGAGGTCTCACTGTCAATGGAGTAAAGTCTACCCTACTCCCATCTTGTTGATTTTAGGTGCCATCTAAAAGAGCTGCATAATCCTATAAATGTCCTTCCATTTCCTTTTTTTCAGGATACACAAGGAAAGAGACTAATAGGTGGGCATAAAGCTTATATTCATTTTGAGGGGCTGGAGATCAGTACATGACAAAACCAAGTGCAAACACAGTGTTGTGCTCTTATTTGCAGCAGACTAAAACAGTAGGAACATGTTCCTATGCACTGAACCCTGGACTAATATCCCTTTTGGGCTTTATAGTTCAAACTTAGTACTTCATTCAAGTGACCTTATCTGCAGCCTTTGGTTCAGAGGAAGATCACATCTAAGAGAAAGTAAGCGTGCTTATCTGTCCAGAGTCTAGGAAGAAGATGCACTGATGAAAAAAAGAAAAATAGTATGAACAAAGAGCATCTGGGAACAAAAACAATAAACAAATTGAGGGAGAGCATATTTCCTATCTGAATTAAGCCATGGATGATCTATTTTTAGCTTCTTAGAGTTGGTACATACAAGGGTTAGCAGCAGGAGATTTATCACTCAGTCACTATAGCACTTTCTCTGTATGACTGGCTGACTTTTTTTTGGTAAGTGAATGTAGTGCTTGTGAAATGTGCCAGACTGACACTCCAGGAACTAAATTCCTCTGTTTATTCATGGATCATGCACAGGATGCAGTAAGCTTGCTAGACAGCCAACATTTTGATGTTGCCATAGCATTCCCATGGAACATCATTGCTGCTAACAGCATGTCCAGGATTATTCAAACTAGATGGGATGAGATTATCATCAGTTTTAACTCTCTTGAAGCTCCACAATATTTGCCCAACCAGTTTCAAGTGGCATAGGGATTAGTGAATTAACAAAAAGAGTAAGGAGTCATACTTTCAGTGTAATCTGAACCAATTTATTAACTGCCTCAGTGCAATGAAATCTGTTTAAACACTGAAAACATGGTTCATGAGAACCGAGAACACAGATTTGGCTGAGTGAGGGGAAAAAAAAGCATCCTAAGGCCAGGGATTTCTAGAGCATTGCAGTTCATGAAAATACAGTTGAGCTAGTTGCAAAACTGTTATCTCAGGAACTAAAAGCAGAAAACTGTGTCAGCTTTGCAATGTCACACAAGCGCACGTGAGCTTATCTGGGGCAAAACCCAGTGTTGTTATAAAAGTACTCCCAGTGTGAATGAGAATAATCACTTGTGATACTGCTGCAAAAGTCCAAAATAGTTCTTAACATATCTATCTAGGGAAAAAATACATGAAACATGTAAAAAGATGACAATGATTTTACTTTTGCACAGATAAATGGTTAGAGCTGATTTAACTTCACATTTTAAGGTCATGGGATTTCCAGAGATCTGGACAAGGCTGTATTTCACCATTGAATATGTGGCTGAGTAGTACATACATAGATATAGGAAAAACACCTGAGAGCTCTTTAACCTTGCAAAGAAAGGCTAAACAAGCCCCAGAAATTGGTAAATTGAAAGTAAACAAATTAACCTTCCAGCATGAAAGCAGATCCTCTCTGAGAGTGATTTCATATCGGAACATGTAGATCTGATAACTGAAGATAATTAAAAGATGCCTCTGAAAGGACACCTGGAAAATAGGCCAGGTAGGCTCCTAAAAATGTAGGTCAGTCACAGAGAAGCCATACTTAGATTCTCCCTCACGTCCACAATGACAGCACTTATTCTGATTAGTTTGAGAGTGACCCATTGCTCACAATTTCTACAATGGATATTTCCTTGCCAGTATTCCTCCCAGGCTAATATTTAGTTCAGAACTCGAAGTCCCTCTATCTTGGCATGAAAAAGCATGCAGAATCCATTGTCCAGTTTAAGTCTGAGATAAACAAAAGCATCCACTAAGTACAAAGGTGATCTGAGCCTACTGCCTTTGGTAGCAGAGTGAAACAATGTCAAAGCAATTTTTTTTCTCTTAAAAAAGGATTATAAATTTAAAAGTAAAAAAAAAAAATCTCTAAAGAAGGACCAAAAAAGATGACTCCTGTTATGAAGAATAGTTCAAATAAATATAGATCTTAGAGGAATGAATGGATCTTATGAGAATGAATACAGTTGTCTAGGAATTGGATAAGGCAATGTTATTTAAACAATGAACTTGTACAGCAAATAAATAACTTGCTGAAAAAAGTGCTCTAAGGTTCTTATAAAAAAATTATAATTTCCTCAATAATTAACTACTTTGTCAACTGTGGGGTAATTATTTATAAACTGAAAAGGTAAGTGCTATAATTTGTGTGTGAATACACTGTTATTTGCACACAATAAAGTAGCTACATTCTTGCTTCCAGTTCAGTACTGACTTTAGGAGCTAGATATGGAGCCAGCAGCCACACACCTGAAATGATATTTTATAAATATTTAGACTTCATAGTTGACTCTTTACACAACTATCAGTTACTTTAGTACACAGTGAGAATTGATATTGTAGAAACAAAGGACGTTGATATTTAGCATCAGGTTTGCTGCTGCCTCTACCAAATGCACAGTAGGGTTAACTTTAAATATAACACATGGCAGATATTTAACTGTTCATCATAAATAAATTTCTTACATACGGGCTCTTGTTCAGTTCTGGTGTTAGGCTGCCCTTGCTTGTTCTATGAAGTGGTCTCCGCTTCAGCTGCTGCCATGGAAAGACAAAAATCAGATTCCAGTGAAGTTAAAATGAAATCTGCCACAGATAAGACAGAACTCCCAGGATTTTAAGAGGGTGAGGCTGAGTATACTGACCCATCTGCAATAACTGAGGAAGTCAGTGCAAAACATATATTGTACAACATCAGGCCAGGCAAGATGGCAAAGCCACAAACAATTCTTTGAAGGTAATTGTATTCCTTTTTAAAACAAATGTACTGTACTTTGGCAATCTACTGTGGCAACACTGAAGGAAGGTAACAGGAAGAAAACAGACCAGTGGCCAAGAGTGCTGTTTCCAAATACACATAGTTACTGGTTTCCATACTGTACCAATTCCTGTTGGCTTCTCTCCCTTTGGAAATGGACCATAACCAAGAATTCCTTTCACACAGGCAATCAAGAAGAGTCAAAATGTAGCACTGACTCATTTATTTAGACAAAGTGTCTAGATTTAAACCAATCACTTTACAGTACAAGATTCCCTAATTTTGAAAAGGAAAAAGTAAAAAAATAAAAAGAGCCAAAAACCAGGCTATGGCACTTTTTGAGTGGTATTAAACCTGGACACCTCCTCAGAGTCAGAATGCAAGACACATGAAGATGATAAGCTGTCTTATGTCCTTTCCAAAGAATAGAGATCAACAAACATTTCCTTCCCCTCTATCTTGGCATTGCCTG